GCATGATCTGTGTTTTCAACAATGTTTTTCTTGCTGTCATCGTCCTATTTATTAGTCGCACACGGTGAGATGTCACCGTTCAACGCCTTGCACAAATCACAAATTCATTCATTATATAATCAGAACTACTACTACGTTCCCAATCATTCCAAAGATGTTTCTGATCATCGCACTATTTCTGATCTCGGCCATAGCACTCTATATATGGATTTATTATGAGAACGTAAAGCGATATCCAAAAGGGCCAACTCCAATACCCATCTTTGGAAATTTGCTATCTGTAAGTCTAATGCATTTCTTGGGAAACTTAAACCTAATATAGAAATTTAGGCAAATGTTCGTAGGCTACACGAACAACTCTCGGACTATGCAAAAACTTATGGTAGTGTGTATACAATATGGTTACCAAGACCTTTTGTAGTCATTTCCGAATTTGAGTTGATTAAGGAGGCATTTTCCAAGAAAGGTGAGCCAGTTTCAAATAAAAGTTCTTTTCACATTTTTTTGCAATTGCGGTTCAGGTGATGATTTTTCTGGAAGGCCACAGGGTTATCCCAGCAACTTCTTTGAGATAGTTAAAAATGGAGGTGTAATTGGCTCAGAGGTTAGTCCGTTAAAGAAACTCGTGTCTATGACACTAACTTGATATTTTAGGGTGACAACTGGAAAGAGCAACGACGTACTTCATTACATATCCTCAGGGACTTTGGCATGGGGAAAAATCTGATGGAAGAACAGGTTTAATCGATCAGCATTTGATTTTACCTAAAAAGCAACTAAATAATAATGTTCAAGAACATGTACGATGTTTCTTCTTCCAACTTTTCATATAAACATTACTTCATTCTTCCCCAATTTTTAATGAGAATCCTCCATGAGGTAAAATTTGTGTCATATTTAGTTCATTGCAGGTTCTACTATCAGCTCAAGAATTTCTTGCACACATGGCTTCTTTGAAGAATAAGGAGGCTGTAGATCTATACCATCCAATTCAGGTAAACTTCCTTAACGCTGATACGACTATTTGGAAAAAAA